AAAAAAAAAAATAAAATAAAATAAAGATCATTAATTAAATTATTGTTGAGGCTGGACACTGTGGCTTATACCTGTAATGCTAGCACTCTAGGAGACCAAGACAGGTGGATTGCCTGAGCTCTGAGGAGTTTGAGACCAGTTTGAGCAACAGTGAGGCCCTGTCTGTACTAAAAATAGAAAAAAGTAGCCAGGCATTGTGGTGGTCATCTGTAGTCCTACCTACTTGGGAGGCTGAGGCAAGAGGGTTGCTTGAGCCAAAGAGTTTGAGGTTACTGTGAGCTGTGATCCTATAGCACTCTACCCAGCGCAGCAGAGTGAGATTGTGTCTCAGATAGATAGATTATATCATAAATAAGTAAAGAAGTAAATGAATAAATAATTTTCAAAAGAACTTCAAAGCAGTTAAAACCTTTAAATTGATTATTTAAGTGTGTGTATCATTATTATAATAAATAAATGTTTTATTGTTATAAGTAAACATCAGCTTATTTTTAAAGTGGGGTATAGCCTTGAAAAGTAAGGTTTTGCAATACATCTATAGATAGTGCAAGTTGACAAGGATTTGCCAGTGAATACTGATAGATATCAGAATCATCCAGCGTGAATGAAGCTGTATGACGCAGCAATCCCTGGTGCCTGAAGTAGCAAGGAGGTGTAGCTTATGCTAAATGTATGGTGTAATTCTATCTGTATTTGTTTATTTTTGAGACAGAGTCTCAAGCTGTCACCCAGGGTAGAGTGCTGTGGCATCATAGCTCACAACAACCTCCAACTCCTGGGCTTAAGCAGTTCTTCTGCCTCAGCCTCCCAAAGTAGCTGGGACTACAGGTGCTTGCCACAACACCAGGCTATTTTTTGGTTGTAGTTGTCATTGTTATTTGGCAGGCTGGATTCGAACCTGCCAGCTCTGAATGTATGTGGCTGGTGCCCTAGCTGCTTGAGCTATAGGCGCCAAGCCTTTCTGTCTGTATTTGAAATAGTAAAGTAGTTGGACAGAATTACCTTGCAGATCCTAGTTTTGAAAATTTTCTAAGTATGTTCAATTTTAGTACCTGTATTTCTTTTTTTTAAAGTATGAGTTTATTTACTTATTGTTACTGTTTTTGATTTGGCATTTTTTATTTTTATTACACAGCATTCAATTAAAATGGACGAGTTTTTTTTTTGTTGTTGTTGTTGTTTTTGGAGACAGAGCTTCAAGCTGTCCCCTGGGTAGAGTGCTGTGGTATCACAGCTCACAGCAACCTCCAACTCCTGGGCTCAAGCGAGTCCCCTGCCTCAGCCTCCCACCTCAGCCTCCCAAGTAGCTGGGACCACAGGCACCCGCCACAATGCCCGGCTATTTTTTGGTAGCAGCCGTCATTGTTGTTTGGTGGGCCCAAGCTGGATTAAAACCCACCACCTTAGATGTATATGGCTGGCACCTTAGCCACTTGAGCCACAGGCACTGAGCCTGGACAAATTTTTAGTAAAGAAATAGAAATTAAAAGAAGACACTACTGTGTCAAATACTGCTTCATCCAGTACATTGACAAATTAAAAATAGTCATCAATATAATGAACATTATTTATCATTTGGTTTCATATGTAGTAAAGGAAATCCATCACATTCTACATGAGTAATTTGTAGTGAAACATTAGCAAATGAAGCTATGGTTCAATGCAAATTAAAGAGGCATTTATAATCCAGATGTTTTCACTTACCTGAAATGCCAGTGGAATATTTCAAACGACTAACATTCAGTAATACTAAACAAGCAAAAATATGGACCAAATATGCAACAATATCAGATAAACCACAAGAAGGTGTTACGCAGATGCAGAAATTGTAGCTAGGAAACTGAAATCTCATACAATTGCAGAATCTATTATTTTACTGGCCTGCTGTGCAAATGTAAAAACAATGTTTGGAGAAGAATAAGGAAAGGAAATTTTTAAAATTCTGCTTTCAGATAATACAGTTTCTCAGCACGTTATGGATTTAATCTGAAAATACAGAATTTCAAGTAATATCTCACCTCAAAGAAGTAAACATGTTTGCAATTCAGTTGGATGAATCTACTGATACCAGTGATAAACCCCAACTTTTAGCATTCCGTAGATTTGTCTGTAAAGAAGAAATCAAAGAAGAGTTCTTATTCTCTTGACCACTCCATACAACAACAGAGGGGAAAGATACTTTAGATTTAATCAATACCTTTAATTGTAATAACTTGTCTTGGGATTCCAGCATTAGTATTTTTTTTTTTTTT